GGCTGATGAATATGCTAAACTTTTAGCCAAGAGAACGAAGGAGGCCAAAGAAAAGCGCTAGGAACAGATTGTCAAGAGATGCAGGCTGTCCTCTTTGGGAGATTCCACTTCTAAGTCTGAATCCAGTCAAAAATAAGATGTTTTGAGTAACGAATAAATGAGATCATATCTCAAAAAAAAAAAAAAGGGAGAAGGGTAAATGCAGTAAAATGTTAGAAATTGAGCAATCTGGGAGACACATATATAGGAAATCTTTTCTTACTCTGGCAACTTTTTGGAAAAATGGAACTTCTGTCAAAATTAAAAATAAAAAGGAAAATGACTGCTGAGCAAGAGATCTGAATTAAGCTCCTTTTCCTGTTTTTTTTTTTTTTAAGGGAAAGTAAATTGAGTTATTCTAGTATATTTGTTATTCTCACCCAAATAATATGGTAGATTAGAACTGGTCATTTTGGAAATACCTTACTCAAGTGTAAAAACTAACCCATCAGAGGTGCTGTTATCGTAACTTAGAGAACAGCCTAGTCTAGTTCCAGACACATATTAAAGATACTAAAAATACAAGTGGACTTACTGAGCCAAGTGAAGGTATCCTTAAAACAGATGGGCTCCAATCTGACAATGGCAATATTTAAGATTCATGTTCCATTATTCCCTTATGAGACCACGAAAGAATGAAAATGGAACAAATTTTATTCAGAGATACTCATCGTAAAACAAAATGAAAGGTAGAAACACTTTCTATAGAGATATTCTTCCCATTTTAAAAATATTTTTATTGGGCGGCACCTGTGGCTCAAAGGAGTAAGGCACTGGCCCCATATACGGGAGATGGCAGGTTCAAACCCGGCTCTGGCCAAAACACTGCTAAAATATATACATATATATATTTTACGTACTAAACTATGAGTTGAGTTGGTTGAAAACTTGGCTATCCATACAAACTCATTTCCTGAAGATTCTATATGTTCCAGTTTTCTTTCTGTACTGCCAACATGTAAAGTTTTATTACTATTTTATTGTGAAAGTTAGGATTTTTCCATTAACTTTGCAATTTTAAAAGATATGCTACACAAGTGCAGTTTTATTAGAGTTAGAGGCCAAATATGTTTCCAACAGGAAGTTCGGACATTATAATAAAAGTCAGAGGATCCACAAATCTGCTGAAGTACTCTGGTCTATTAAGTGCACCTGTGTATGACTAGCTCTTAAAGAATTTAGACTTAAAGAATTTAGAACAGCTTTAAGAGGAATAGAGCAACTAGCATAAAATACACTTAGTACCTATACACCCTGCCTGTAATTTTTCTCCCCCTTGTTGGGGACTCATGAACGGTGAAGCTACATGAGATTCCTGAGTTATCAAGGATGAAGATATTTAGAGGTCTATAAAGGTATGCAATCTTTCTGGCTAGTTTTGAATTTTGTTTCTAGTATTCTAACAACATAGGTAATCCAACTCAAAACCACAGAGGCAGAGAAATAGTTTATGGCAGACTGTGGAAGCCTGAACTATAGAGAAAAATTACGAGATGTGGCGTGGGATGAAGGAGGATCTGTGAATTACGACTTCCCTGGGCCTCAATCTTCTCATCTTAGTACTTAATACGGTACTTAGGTAATTAGTACCTAAGTACTTAAGTACTTAAAGTATTACCCTATTTAAACCCACACAAACAAGTTTCCCTTACATCTCACCTTTAACTGGCAGCATAGAGAGTAGCAATAAAATGGTGCTATAAGTAACAACACAAAAAAATCATTCATTCAGCAAGCATCTATTAAGAACTATTATTAGCCAGACACTATGTTAGGGAAACAAGTACAGTAGCCCCACTTACTTGTGGGGAGATGCATTATAAGACCCCTAGTAGCTGCATGAAGCTGTAGATAGTACTGACCTTTAGCTATGTGTTGTGTAGTGATGCTTTGGTCAATGATGAGCCATATGTACCATGGTAGTCCCAAAAGATAATGGAAAAATTCCTACTGAAAAATTCCTACTTAGTGACCTCATAACCATTGTAAGGTCACAGCACAGCACAGTACCTGATATATATTTAAATATACAAACACTTAACCGCTGTGTTACCATTGCCTAGAGCAGTGGTTCTCAACCTGTGGGTTGTGACCCATAGGAACTGTATTAAAGGGTCAGGGAATTAGGAAGGTTGAGAACCACTGGCCTAGAGCATTCAGTACAATAACATGCTGTATATGTTTGAAGCCCAGGAGTAATATGCTACACCATACAGCCTAGGTATGCAGAAGGCTATACCATCTAGGTTTGTGTAAGTACATTCTACGATATTGAAACAAGAACAGAACCAACTAATTGATGCATTTATCAGAATATATTCCTGTCTTTTTGTTTGTTTGTTTGTAGAGACAGAGTCTTACTTTATCACCCTCAGTAGAGTGCCCTGGCATCCCAGCTCACACCAACCCCCAACTCCTGGACTTAGGCAATTATCTTGCCTCAGCCTCCAGAGTAGCTGGGACTACAGGCACTGGCCACAACAACCAGCCATTTTTTTGTTGCAGTTTGGCTGGGGCTGGGTTTAAATCCACCAACCTTGGTATATGGGGCCAGCGCCCTACTTATCAAGCCACAGGCGCCGCCCTATATTCCTGTCCTTAAATGACAGAACTGTACCAGTTTTTACAAAGTTTAATTGATGAACTAGGCACAAGAAATTAACAATAAGGGCTGGGCACCTGTGGCTGAGGGGCCAGGGCGCTGGCCCCGGACACCAGCGCTGGTGAGTTCCAAACCAGCCGCGCCTGTCAAACAACAACAAAAATAGCAGAGCATTGTGGCAGGCTGTATGTAGTCCCTTGGCCTCCCAAGAATTTGAGGTTGCTGTTAGCTGTGACACCAGGGCACTCTACTGAGGGCGACACAGTGAAACTCTGTCTCCAAAAAAAAAAAAAAGAAAAGAAAAAAAGAAAAGAAATTAACAATAAGCATATATTATTATACTGTGTACTCACCTTTCTTCCTGTGAAGATATGACCGCAGAAGGTGAAAGGGAGGAAGAGCTGGGACTACTGTAAAGAGATTCTGTCTATGCCCATCTATGCCCTCAGGGGGCTTACGCTCTAGCACACACAGACACCATTTAATACCACATGGTACGTGCAATGCTAACGGTATAAATGGAATGTTAAGTAGGTCAACTAAATGATACTGGGTTGGAAGCTAAGTCAGAAAAGGCATCTTGAAAAACAGGCCAGAGGTGTCCTAACAGAGAAGTTAACTGGGAGCTGATTTTAGACAAGGGGAATAACCTGAGCAGAGAAACGAAGTCGAGATCTACCATTTCCTGGAAACTAAAAGCACCCTTTCCTCGCATGCCAAAGACAAATCAGAAGCATTATCATGTCACTTTTTAATATCTGGGATATCAACTGCCCATTGGCTGTTATCAGCACTCCAGAGTCTTCATCACTTTCTGTTGCATCCCAGGTCCTACAACTTCCTTCCAGAGAGTAAGGAGCACTTATTTAAGAGTTATTTGGCAGGTGTCTCCTTTCACAAAGGAGGTAGCTACCAGAGTTCAGCCAAAACAGGGGAGAGTTGGTATGTGGGGGTGTGACGGGGCCCACCAACTCTGCCCAAATCCCGGGAGCGATGGGAGGTCTTTCGAATTGGGAACGAGAACTCGCAGATGCAAACACAGCAAGGATATCGCCCCTCCGCAACCCCAAGGCCCTAACAAGGGAACGCCGAGGACCACAGGGCAACTACGTGGAACTGACGCGCGGGAGGGGGGAACCGACCGGGCGCGGGAAGAGGCACTCACAGCCCAAGAGGCACTTTAGGACCCCGGTCAATCTCACCGGCGGGCTGGCGGGGGGGGGTCCCGGCTTCGGAGCCGGCTGTCAAGCAAGGACCCGAAAGAGCGAGGCGCCCACTCACCGCTGCTGCTGGTGAAGTAGAACACCATGATCCCTGAGACGGCGCGGCAACTCCAGCCCGGAGCAGCAGCACTCAACTCTCAAAGCTCAGGATACCAGAAGCACTGCTGCCACCCTTACCCCGGAACTCCTCCACCCACTTCCGGCGGACGTCGGGTCGCGTCATAACGCCGGCATACCGGCGCCATCTTTAATCCTGGCGAGGCCAGGGGCCTTAATGAGGAGTAGGGTAGATGATTTGCCGGTTGCGTGAAAGAAGATGGAGGTCCCCGGCGCCTTAATTAAACCCTCGGGGCTTTAGTTTCTTTATCTGTGAAATGAAGGTAATGGTCAGCTAACTCACAGGTTATTTTTCTAGGGTTAAATAAGTTAATAGGAGTAAAAGGTTTGGAAGATAGCCCTCAAACTCTCATAGAACTTAACTTTGACTTGATTATTTCTCATGAGAAAAGACCTTTTATCTGAGGAATGAGAGTACTTTACCTTATCAGGCCCAGGGAGAAGTTAAAATGAGACGACAATCACTGTCCTACTTCCTCTCCTTGAGCTCTCAGAATTGTCCACTATCCTACAAAGATTAATAATGCTTCACAGGACACTGTAACCCATTCCTATAGCTTAACATTGTGTAGCTAATCATTAATCAATGTTACTTTACTAAGTCAATGAGAATTCCTGACAACTTTCTATCTGCCCAATTCCAGCCCGCCTCCACCCCTTTTTTTTGGCTCGAGTAAACTAAATTGTATTTTGGGCCTCAGCCTCTTCCTGTTAGGTGGGCATCCTTAACTTCATTCTCACCGACATCTCGGAAGTTGAGCGCATCAGTTAACTAAAATTAAATTTTACAACGAAAAATTCTCCGCAGACCATCAGGAGCTGGTGACATAGAGATAATAACAATGAGTGCTTGAGGAACCTTCTGACTTTACAAAGCAAGAACCCAGCTATGTCCTGTAAACAGTAATTGTTTGAGTCTCTCATATCTCTTCTCTGTTAATATATATATCACGTAGATGGTGGTGAAGAGTAAAAGAAACAAAACATGTAGCGCATCTAAGAATGCCTGGCATGGAAGTAAAGGTTCACCCCGATTGAATTTTTTTAGTTTAACTTGAAAAATAAAGTAGTGAAATGGAAACCTAAAGTTACTAATACGAAAAAGTGACACTAAGGATCAAGCTTCAGATGTGAAAAGCAAGGGCCTCGAAAATCTTGGAGAGGATACTTCGTAAAAAACTTCCTGCACCAAGAGACCCCAGAATTAAAACTACAGCACCCAGAATGCTTCCAAACAAGGCTCCGGGAACGGAGCTCGGCTGGGCCGCAAGGTATTGTGGGAGGCGTGGTTTCCCAGAGAGGAGAGGTTTCCGCCTCCCAAGGGCGGGAGAATTTTGGCTATAGCCTCTCGGCGGTGGGCGGGGCAAGAGCCAGTGAGTCACCAATCACCGAGTCAGCCCCGGGAAGCGCTGAGCAGCGGCGAATCGGAACGCAGCGGCTTCCACCGCTCTTGGCGCGCGAGCATTTGAATACGCGCTGCTCAGAGCGACTGGCGCGGCTGGGAAGAAGTCGCTCGCCCCTGCGGCGCAGGTAAACGCTGGGGAAGGTCGAAGCTGAGGGTTGGAGCTCCAAGAGAAGCGGAGCCCCTGTGGAACATGGGGTGAAAGTCGATCGAAAGGAGCTTTTGCAGTGGGCTTGGCGAGCCCCCGGCCGGCGCTCCGCGCTCTCCTGCCCGGGTTCCCATCTTCCCGACGTTTTCTCGTCTTTTTGCCCTGACAAGAGTTCAGGATTTGGGACGCTTTTCTCTCCTACCTTTCCCCGCTCAACCTGAAGGGTCTTCCCGTTAACCGCAGCTCGCTGTTCATTCCCAAATAGCTGGGTCTGTTTGTTCGCTTAGCTTTGAAATCACGCTTGTACACTTTTTTGTGAGGAAAATGCTTGATCCAAGGGGAAGGGAATGAGCTTTTATTGAGCAGCATAGTTCCTGCCCCCGAGTTAACGTGCGTTCTGGAATTTGTTCTCAGCAGCCTCCCTACGTCAGTGTTTACAGATAAGGAAGAAGCGAACGGCATACTCAGGCTCCTCAGTAAAATGGCAGAGGTTTATGCTTCACCTATTTTTTTCTGGGCTCTGATGAAAAGTTAGAAACAGTCTCCGCTTTTGTTAAGAACATACAGTCTGTCGAAAATACGCGAAAGGAGTTTGGGGTGCCGGGGGAACGAGAGAACAGAAGCATCTATAAAGTGGGGAGGAGGGAGGAGAGCAGTGTGGAATATGACTTGATCAGGTTGACTGAAGGGGACCGTGTGCCCCGAATTGAGGTAAAAACTGGTTCCTCTTTTGTAGTTGGCAGATTGAAACACAGATATAATCCCTCCTTTGATCTTCTGTGTGTGGGTTTGTTTGTGACAGCCTTGTTCTGTCACCCAGGCTGGAGTGCTGTGGCCTCAGCCTAGCTCACAGCTACCTCAAACTCCTGGGTGCAAGCGATCCTCCTGCCTCAGCCTCCTGAGTATCTGGGACTACAGTCGCCCCCCACCCCCAACACCCTGCTAGTTTGTCTGTTTTTAGTAGAGACTGTGATCTTGCTTTTGCTCAGGCTGGTCTAGAACTCCTGAGCTCAAGAGATCCTCTCTTTGGCCTCTCAGAGTGCTGGAATTACTACAGGTGTGAACCACCACCTCCAGGCTTTTTGCGGTGGTGTAGTGTTTCCTCTTTTTTAAACTAATGGTTTAAATCTTAAGTAATTTGCTTTTTAAAAAGTCTTTACATATATATAGAGAGAGACAGAGTCTCACCATGTCACCCTTGGTAGAGTGCAGTGGCGTCACAGCTCACAGCAACCTTAAACTCTTGGGCTTAAGTGATTCTCTTGCCTCAGGCTCCCAAGCAGCTGGGACCACAGGTGCCCGCAACCTGGCTATTTTTTGTTGCAGTTGTCCTTGTTGGTTAGCTGGCTCCGGCTGGGCTCCAACCCACCACCTTAGGTGTATGTGGCTGGCCCCATAACCACTGTGCTACGGGCGCCTAGCCAAAAAAGTCCTTTTTTTGAATCTCTATGGAGCACATCACCTTGCCAAAATTTTTCAAACTTTTAAGGTATTTTGATACAGTGAGTGATTTCTATACCCTTTTGATGAATGTGGTTGTTATAATTGCTCTACTACTTTTAGGAATTAAGAAGATGGCATCTTTTACACCAAGGAAGAGAAAGCATTCTTTCACCAGTGACAGGTGAGTCTCATCCTATGAATAGAAACTCTTAAAAAAAGAAAAAGCCACTGTCCTGTCTTATTTTCCTATTGTCTAAAATTTCCATTCTTCCTTTATAAAGCCTGCTTCTAATAGACTATTGCAATACTCTATATTCTAACTTTAGTCTGAAAATACAATAAGTTTTAGGATGAATTGTTTAGTACTTCTGGAGGGAATTAATATACTGTTTTCTATGGAGAGGGAAGTATATCAAATATTTGATTACTTTTGTCATTTCTAGTCTCTTTTATAGTATTTGACATGGTGTTTTGCATGCAGTAGATGCTCGTCTAAAGTATGTATTCAGAGATAGAAATTACTCTGTAGGAGAGGCCCTTGGTTGTCAGTTTATTACAGAGAATTAATCAGTATAGGGGACTTCTCCTAGCCAGTTGAGCAAAATATATGGGCTGTAACTGTATGTGGACAAGATATAGAAATAGATTTTAAAACATACACATATACCCATACAGGTATATCAGAGTTTCTTTGTATACAGTGTTTTCATGAACATTCTTAGGATCTTACTTTGGAATGATATTTGAATGTTTTTGTTTGATAAAAACATAATTTGAGAATTTTACTTTTAAACTAACAGACAATGTATATATGGTTAGGGAAGGGTTTTTTGTTTTTTGTTTTTTGTTTTTTTTGAGACTTGAGTCTCACTTTGTTGCCTTCTGTAGAATGCCAAGGTAGCTTACAGCAACCTTAAACTCAGGCTCAAGCGATTCTCTTGCCTCAGCTTCCTGAGTAGCTGGGACTTAGAGGCACCTACCACAATGCCTGGCTAGGATGTGTTTTTTTTTTTTTTTTTTAATATGACCTATAGGCAGAGTTTATTGAGTGATTTACATAAATTTTGAAGCAAAATATTGAACTTATCAATGAACTTTTTTTCTCTTCATAGCCTGTCGTCAGATATTCCATCAAAGAAAGTAATTTTGCACTTCACTGAAAATCTGTTTCTGTCAACTAATAAAAAGTACATTTGTCAAAGTGGTGATGAAAATGAAGAAAATGTGCATTGCTCTCAACAAGGCCATTTCACCTTAAGTCCCCTCAAAACAGCTAAAAAAAATGGGTTGCCATCTGCAAGTCAAGGTTCACCATTTAAATCTGCTGTGTCTGCTGTAACCTTTTACAACAAAAATAAGTCATACCTCAATCCATTGGAGAGAAAGGTGATAAAAGAGTATAGAACCACTTGTCTAAAAACTAATAATGAAGATAAATCTTTTCCCAGTGTGACAAGAAAAATTCAGAGAAAACCAGTTTACTCCAAGAAGAGCAATAAAAAACCACAGAAGAATTTAACTGCTAAGTGTCAACCAAGTTATAAGCATGTCAAGCCTGTATCAAGGACTTCTAAAAGTTCTCACCAAAATCGAGTGACCTATAAGCCAATTATGGAGAAAGAGAATAATTGTTATTCAGTTAAAAATAATCCTAATGTTCCTCGAGTTCTAAGCCAAAAAACAAAACCACAGGTTACACTCCAGGGTGGAGCAGCATTTTTTGTTAGTAGAAAAAAATCCTCTGTTAAAAAATGTTCTCTGGAAAATGAGTCACTGGGACTCACCCAAAAGAATAAATCAGTAATAACTGAAGATTCTGATGTAGAAAATGTTAGAGAAAGGAAACCTTTAGAGACAAGGCAAATGCCAAAGTGCTTATTCCCGGAAAGGAAATTGAACATTGAGCTACTGAGTGAAAAAAGCAAAAATGAAGACAAATTAATAAAGGTAAAGAAAGCTAAATATATCTCTTTAAAAATTGTTGGCTATATATCAGTATAAATAACATGTATAACATAGTTAAACAAAATTTGATTTTCCTTACAGTCTGGAGGTTTGCATTTATAAAGCCAAGGAGTATAGTATTTAG